ATCATATTCCAAGTTCTTTTTATTTTTGACATAGGGTCTCACAAAGTTGCTGAGGCCAGCTTGATCTTGGGATCCTCCTGTCTCAACCTCCTGTTTTGCTGGGATTACAGGCGTGTGTCACTGTGCCTGGCCAAAATGAATTAATTCTACAGCATCACTGAATAACCAGGATTTTGCAAAATCTATAAGAATGAAGAGTCAAAAGAGGTCTACTGACAAGTCAAGCTTAGCTGCAAGTTCGACAACTGGACAGCTTAACCAGGAGAGACTGCTTTTCAGCATAAGCACTTCAGTTTTGTGAACTTTCCAAGTTGACTTTAGGACACTAGATATGAAGACAGGTACAGGGTACTCACGTGTAATCCCAATACTCAGGAGGCTAAGTGAGGTAGGAGGATCCTTTGAGCCCAGTAGTTCAAGGCCAACCTGGGCAACAGAGCAAGATCCTCTCTTTAATAATAATAATAATAAAATAATAATAATAATAACAATAATAGAAAGCAGGGAGCAGGGAGATGTTGAAAGGGTATAGTTCAGGGAAAAAGGATAGCATGTTCAAGTCCGAGTTTGATCGATGGCTCACATGCACACACATAAACACTTTAAATATGGATCACTTTTCCAATATAACACCTGAGAAACAAAGTTCAGTGCATTCATTGTCAATTTATACCCTGATATTCCTATTTAAAAAACAAAACATAAAAATCATGTAAACTAATCTTTCTCCCAAATAAAAGCATGGGTCTCTTAAAGGATCAATTACTATCGATCCCTGATAAGGTAATAAATACATATACGTAGTTCCCTCACCTCTATATCCTAAATTGAACACCTTTTATATTTAAGCAATTCTAAACCCAAAAGCCATTCCTGCTCTATAAAAGGACCTATTTGCACAAAGTACCTTATGAATTATAGTACCTCACCTAGCTATAAGTCTTTCCAAATGAACCCAACTTCAGTAAAAAAACAGGAGTCCAGGTTTCATATTAATATAACATTTAGTTGGGCATGGTGGACCACACCTATAATCCCAGCAGCTCAGGAGGCAGAGGCAGGAGGATCCTGAGTTCAAAGCCAGCCTCAGCAAAAGCAAGGTAATAAGCAACTCAGGGAGACCCTGTCTCTATAATTAAAATACAAAATAGGGCTGGAATGTGGCTCAGTGGTCAAGTGCTCCTGAGTTCAATCCCTGGTACCCCCCCCCCAGTGCCAAAAAAAAAAAAAAAAAAAAAAAAAAAAATATATATATATATATATATAGCATTTAGACACCACACTACTTTGCCACTTTTTTTTTTTAGTACTGAACCCAGATGTGCTTTACCACTGAAGTACATCCCCAGCCCTTTTTATTTTGAGACAAAGTCTCACTAAGTTGCTTAGGGCCTGACTAAATTGCTGAGGCTGGCCTTGAACTTTTGATCCTTCCATCTCAGCCTCCAAGACGGATTACCAGCATGCACCACTGCACCAACATATTTGTAAAGCTATAATTACTCACATTATTTCTTTATTTAAAAAATGGAATAAATAGCAATATAAATTATATAACCTATATGAACATAATTACTAGAATATTTTATCACTAAACATATATTTAAACAAAATTTCACTCATTTGAACCAATTAAGGAGTAAATAAAGGGGCTGGGGTTGTGGCTCAGTGGTAGAGTACTTGCCTAGCATGTGTGAGGCACTGGACTTGTTCCTCAGCACCACATAAAAAATAAATAAATAAAATAAGGTTATTTATAAAAAGTAAATAAAGGCTCTTAAAAACTAGTAAAAGACTAAAAAAGTTTTTACATCTTTACAAACATACCAAAAATACAGTTAATGTTTATAATGTATTAAGTAGAAGCCCAGATGCTGGAAGACTTAAGTGAGGCATACCTAATTCAAGTGTCTAGTACAGCTAGGCAGGTACAGTGGCACACACCTATAATCCAAGCAACTCAGGAGTCTGAGGCAGGAGACCGCATACTTGAGACCAGCCTCAGCAACTCTGCAAGACCCTATCTCAAAATTAAAAATAAATAAATAAATAAATACAAATTACTGGGGATGTAGCCCAGTGAAAAAGCACCCTGGTCAATCTTAGCACCCAAAACAAAAACAAAAAAAATCCCAAACAACAACAAAAAGTCATAAGTGTCTAGACCCTTTATATCCGCAACCCCCTCACACTTTTTAATTGTCAAGCATGATTTTTACATAGATGCTACCAAGGATCAGCCTAGTCAAGTTAAAATGTTCCCTATTTGTGGGCCCCAAATTAATGAAATTTTACTATAATTTTCAACAGAACACACATGAGAAGGATGCAAATTTCTATTCTTCCATATCCAGATTAAAATTTAATTCAACAAGGCTAATGTCCTTTTAAATACATACACAGAACATAGAAATAAATCCTGAGTATATATGTACTTCTTATATCTTACTGAACTTAAAACCAAATTGCTTATTTCATGGTAGGCTAGAAAATACAATTATGTAATAAACGACAATAAGAAAAAGCCACTTATCATATAGTCTAGTCTTTATTGAAAGACTTACTTTAACTGTGGTTTACAGCTTTGGCTTTAGTTGGCCAGTCATTTTAGCCTCTCACTGCCAGTAGACATAAAAACCAAATGGGAATGGCATGGGGGAAATACTGATAGAGATAATTTAAGCAAAGAAGATGGCAGGCAGAAACACATCATCAAAATAAATCTTGAAATAATTTCGAAATAATAAACATTTCATTGCATGCCAAAGAATCTCTGCTGCTGTTTTTAATGAACATGGGAAAGAAAAGACAACGATTCTTAGGCTCAAACTGGATTAAAATAGCGCTGACTTCAATTTGTGTTAGAAAATAGTCTGTAAGCTTGACAGTTGCATTTTCTAAATGGTGCATCTTTCAGACAAGTAATTTTATGCTTTAAAATTGTTTAATATGAAACAACTTCAATTAACTGATCATGAAATCATATTTTCATCCAGATTAAGATGGAGGACAATTCAGTCAGGCGCTTACCGTGGCAATATAACTAGTCTGGATAATTTAATTAAGTCACAATATACAAACCAGGAAACATTACAGCCAAACTTAGCTGTTCATTATCTCTATAAGCCACTTAATTTACTGGCAGAGGAAAAAAAAAAAAAAAAAAACAACCTGGAAGTTTAGTGGGCATTTATCAAGTTAACAACCTGGAAGTTTAGTGGGCATTTATCAAGTTAAAAAAGTCTTTAGTTATTCAAGTTTCATAAATATTCATGAACATTTTAACTCAGGAACATAATCGATGTGAATTCTTAAGTGTCTCCCTAAAAATATAAAGTAACTTTTCCAAAACAACATTCCCCCAAGATAGCATGAGCAAAAGAAACAAAGCTATATTTACTAATAAAAGTGCAAAAAGATGAATATGGTGGTTAAAACTAAGGTATTTTAAAAATTTTGGCTCAAAGATGAACTTCAGACCCTGTGTATTTTTATGCTGAATATACACTTGGCTATATTTTTAAATGGGAAAAGGAAGAAAGTAATACCAAAATAATTGTGGTCATCAATATATAAAATCATCATTATTTTAAAGTTAATTATAAGACCTCAAAGGTTTAAAAAATGGCAATTTGTGAATGCCAGTTACATCATACTACTTAACTGTAAAAGGCTATTTTCTCAATTGCCCAGACCAATATTTGAATACATTGCCAAAACATGTGCACCCCCTAGCTGTCACAATTTAAACACATAAGATTTTGTCTATTTTACATTCCTGTTTTATAGAAATTTGAGGCAGATTTTATCCACATAGACTGAAAAATACCTTGGAACAAACCTCAACCTTTTCTGCATCTTTCCAGTTGATTCATTTACAAACTGCACACATACAGCTCAAGCCTCTATCCAGGCTTGTTATCCCATGCACACTCCCCACAAGAAAAAAAAATTAATCAAAAATAAAAGTCACAACTTTGTGTACTATTTAAACTGAATATCCAATTATAAATTGGTACATCAAACTGTCTAAATAAGATGTTTTAGCAATCTTGTTAAAAAAATTCTTGGGCAAAATATATCTAATTTTTAAAAACACCCCAAGATTTTTAAAAAACACTTGTGCTATACAACTTATAGGAACCTTGAAATTGTTTTACAGGTTTTAATCAAGGTATTTACATACCAAATAATGTATAAGCAAAGAACGAAAATCTAATTTCCAGTGACATTTTAGAATGTACTAATCCATCAAAGATTCATATTGAATTAAAATTAAGGCCTTTTCTGTGTAATAATTTGTGTCATTTTAATTTTACATAGATAGCCAACCTTGGAAATGTCAGTCTTTAACATTCTTATCAATCCACTGCATTCAATGCAGTGGAGTATGTTAAATGTTACTTCAAATAATTACATTGCTGCTACTTCTATGTTGAAGCATGCTTTTTAAACACTGTATTCAATATTTACAATGTATATCATTTAAACTTCATGTAAAAGCACAAGTATGACTGTCTGACTTTAATACAAACACCATACTTGGAATTTCTCCCCAAAACGAAATGTAATATACTACAGTTTTAATAACACTTTCTGAAGTTTTAAAAATATGTCTTAATGAGGACCAACCAACATTTGCTCAAGGAACTCAGACAACGCTGTTCCTTATTTAGGTTGCAAAATTTCAGTCTGGCTTCAGTTTCTTTTAGGCATAAAGTAAATATTCCTCCAAAGCGACTCCAAAATCATGCATTTCTTCTGAATATCACACTTTTTTTTGCTGACTTCAAATGTGGTCCACCTCAGGGGAGGGGAGGGGAGTATCAGGATTCAGGATGAAATTATGTGATTCCCAGTTTTTCAAGATCCTCCCTTTTTTGCTCGTTTAAAAACACAGTGAGTTAAAATACTGAACAATAAGATAAAAATGGAATAGTATCTAAGAATCAAAATGTATTTACCCATTTCTCTTATTATATCAAAATTTGTAGTCAGAATTGTCTTTATTGACTTTATTTTAGTTTTTGTACACAAAGAAAAATCATGTTCATATCCATCATGAACAAAAACTTAAAAAGGCAGAACTAGAAGACATGTGTCCTTCACCAAAGCAAAGCTGTGCTAAAGGTTCCAAACATTTCAATTTTTAAAATAAATATTTTCATTTTCCGATGTCTACTTTCATGTCTTCAGAGTGTCACAGGAAATCGAAGCCTATCATGAATTACAATTTTGTTTAGAGTCCCAGCTCACTGTGTTTGGTAACTTGCCATACCATATCCAGCTTGGTTAGGAGGAGGTATTACAGGGGGAGGAGCTTGTCCTTGGGGAGGCTGAGCACCAAATCCACCCATCCAAGCAGCAGAAGGTGATTGACTTGGAAGAAAAAAAAAAAATCTTCAGCAAACACAAGACAAAAAAAAAAAAAAAAAAAAAATCATCTATACATTTATAGAAAAATTAAGCAGTCCAATCACAGAATAAACAACTAGAAGAAATCAACAACCTACATTATTAAATAGATCAAAGAAATAAATGCTACAAGTAGAGGCTGGGGTTGTGGCTCAGTGGCAGCTTGCTCACCTAGCATGCATGAGGCACTGGGTTCAATCCTCAGCACCACATAAATGTAAAATAAAGATATCATGCCTACCTAAAACTAAAAAATAAATATTTAAAATAAATAAATAAATGCTACATGTATAGAATGTACATCCCACTGTTTAAGTTGTTAGGACACCATAATTAAGCACGTCTCGCAAGAGTGATTTTTTTAAAAAATGCATATATGATCTACAAATTTATAAGAAAATTTAAAAACTCAAGTTCAAGTTGGAAAGAGTCTCAAAAGAAGGAACCAGTAAAAGTAAAGGTCTGGGCTGGCCTGGGGGAAAAACTTGGGAGAACCAACCCACTCTATCAACAACAATAAAATGTAAGATATTTTATATCACATAATTTGAAGGATTTCTCACACATGCCAAATGGCATAAAATCATCAAACTTCCAAATTTAGCTAGAAAAAAATCTTTTATACATACAAAAATAGACAAATAAAAGTATCATTGGAAATGTTAAGTCAAATTTTACCATCTGCTTACAAAGACAGGTTATACTAATAGGTTACCCCTAACCTCCCTTTCCATATAGGTGAAGAGAAGTAATTTTTTAACATTATAAATCACATTTCAGTACATTTATTTCTATGTTTATAATCCAAATACCTCAATATACACAGTTTAAATAGATCATCCCTAGAAAAATACATTTTTAAATTTCTTTTGTCAGAACTATATTCTGTGTCTACAATGGAAAAACCCAAACAACTTACTCTACTCCAAATCCTTGTTGATTCCATGGTTGTCCATACACTCCATAAGGCGGTACTTGCCACCCATTTGCCATATACTGTCCATACTGTTGTGGGTTTCCATATACTTGGCTCCACTGGCCCCACTGACTATAATCGACCTAGAAAAAAGCAAATTATTGTTTTAAGAAACAAGTAAGAAACACCGTATTTGAAGAAAGAGTGGGAGACAAGGAAGAGAAAAACTAAGTAAGCACCCTTATGTGAATAGGACTCTGTTATTTATCATTGTCTAAGTTTATTGGGGTGGTGACACCTGTGAAAAGAAAGTATTAAGATTCAGTTAATACCGCAAAATCAATTTTGAAATAGCATTAATACAATCAACTGAAAGTAGATATATGCTTTATTTTATTTACTGTTTATTTTAGTTTCCAAAGCTTGTATTGTAGATATATAAGATGGAACCTTAAAAAGTACTATGAAAAATCCAATTACCTGTTGGAAGTTTTTAGTCATATCAGGAGATTCTTTACCCCAATAGCATTTAACCACATGTCCTTCAATCGTAGTACCATTCACTGAAACAATGGCATGGGCTGCACTTTCATGTGTTGAAAATCTAAGAGAAAAAAAATAATCATGTTTGTCTTATTTTTTTTTTAAGAACTTAATACAGAAACTCATTAGTTCATTACTATAAATTGGTATTTCCCCTAAATTACATCATGTAGTTAGAAGTTCTATATTGTAAAGAAATACTAAAATAAAAACCTGATTCCTTGACAGGGTCAAATAACACAAGTGTAGGAGTAAATCAAACATAAGATTAATAATGATATTACAAATAGACTATTACCTGACAAATGAATAGCCTTTCTCTGGAAAAACTCTTATTTCCATAATCTGTCCAAATGGTGAAAATGTTTGTCTCATAAGCTGATCTATAAAACATATGAATAGAATATTTAGGGTTCTTATACATCATAAAATTCATACTAATAGGGCTGGGGTTGTGGCTCTGTGGTAGAAGGTTTGCCTAGCATGTGTGAGGCACTGGGTTCAATTCTCAGCACCATGTATAAATAAATAAAATAAAGGTCCACTGATAACTAAAAAGTATTTTAAAAATTCATACTAATAACAATGAAGCCCCACAAAGAAAGTGACTAGGAAAGCAAACATTGTACCTGTTAACCCAGAAGCAATTCCTCCACAGTACACAGTACAATTTTTTGGACTTGACTGGTTTACTACATCTTCAAATCTCAACTGCTTAGTGTTATCTACATGCAGAAAGAAAAGAAAAATACTGACTGCTATACAATGTTATAAAATTATTTTCTGGCCTGTGGGTGTAGCTCAGAGCATTTGCCTAACGTGCAAAGTCTTGGGTTCGATGACTAGCACCACACACATAGTCTTACTAATTATTTATATACTGTTAAGATATACCTCAGGAAGAAGAAAATATAATTTTTTCTCAATGTTATGATTTGATTGTAAAATCAGGTGGCTCACATCTTCACAAAATACATCAAATCTCAATTGTTTTTGATAATAAAATTCAAGACAAAATAAGTCTTCCCATACAATTTAAATATTAAGAAATTAAATCTTATATAGAAATAAGTGGTTTGTGAATAATCCATAATCTTAACATATGCGACAGACATAGCTTACTTTCTTGTGTACTTTTAGGTGCTGGTGGTTTACGTGTGGCCCAATTGGTTCTGATTTGCCGGCCACCCAACCACTGACCTCCCATATGCACAATTGCATTTTCTGCATCCTATGGGGGAAAAAAAAAAAAGAGAGAGAGAGAGCAATCACAAACAAAACGGAATGGTATATAAGGCCAGTAATAAATAAAAGTTGGCACTGCTGGATTCACTAAATTTCAACAGTAAATTAACTCACTAAACAATTAACAAGAAAATAATTTGAACTTGAATTAATCATAAAGCTATTTTAATTTGTTGATTGCAGATTATGAAAATAGCATTTAAGTTGATGTAAAGGAACATTTATCATAATTGAAATATGAAAAAAATCATAATCCTACTGATTACCCAAAATTAAGGTTTAGTTCCTCAAATACACACATTTTAATAAAAACAAATCCCATAAGACAAAGTAATCAAATATCTTAATTTTATTGTTGATTTATAATGTAATATTTACTGAAGAAAATTTAAAAACACAAACATTAGTCTAAATTGCCTACCCCTCAAAATCTACAATGTATTCTATTAGTATGAGTTATGACTATGACATGAGATTTAAAATATTTTAAGATGGAAGACTTTTAAATTATGACTTATAATGCTAAAAAATGTATCAACAAAAAATAAGTTTAGGGTGAGGGATTATAGCTCAGCAGTACAATGCCTGACTATTACGGAAGCCATGAGTTCAACTCCTAGCACCACACACACTAAAAAGCTTAGGTTATCCAAATTAATATGAACCTGAGATTAATCTATGCAAAGATAGAATATAACTGGTAATTTTATCATACCCCTTCAATAAAATGTAGGTAATTTAAGTTGTTGAAACCGAACTAAACTCTATTTTATTATTGAATATTATAATAAATGCAAATGCTTAGGTACTTTGGTACATCATCTTTCTTAAAAAAAGTCATACAAAAAAATCAAGAAAAATTGCTTAAATTTTCAGTTCAATAACATACCAGTTATAAAAGTATGGATAATTTCAAATAAAGAATGAAAACTGAGATCATGATTAAGACTGAATATAATCTGGGCACAGTAGCGCATGTCTGGAAACCCTGGGACTTGGGAGAATCAAGAATCAATGAAGGAGAATCATCAAATTTAAGGCTGGCCTCAGCAACTCAGTGAGACCCTCACCAACACCGAGAGCCTGACCCAAAATAAAAATTAAAAAAGACCTGGGTTCAATCCCCAGGACTCTCCCGCACTCCCCACACCCTGACAAAAAAATAAGACTCAATATAATTTATTTTCCCCCTCCAAATTTCCATATTAGTTCACTTGTCCTAGTCTTAGGCTTGATTTATAACACATTTTACCTTCATTAATGCACAAGTGCAAGTTTAATAATTGTCCTTAGAGTGTAATCACCCTATCTCAGCTATTTACTTTCAGGTTTATGAAAGAATGAATTATATTCTACTATTAACACACACAAAAAAAATTTATGTTGAGGTTGGATTTGTAGTTAATAACCAAGCACTTTCAAATTTCAGCTACTGTGTATTAACTAGTGATTAAATCTAGAATTAAAGAATTTAAACTGGGTGCTGGGGTTTGGCTCAGTGGTAGCGTGCCAGCCTAGCATACAGGAGGGCACTGGGTTCGAACCTTAGCATCACATAAAAATAAACAAAGTTATGTCCCTCTATTGCTAAAAATATATATATATTTTAAATTTAAATTGGGTTGAAAGAACGTACCAGTTTGTTATAAAAAGATACAAAACCATAGCCTTTGGATTTTCCAGTTGCCATGTCTTTAACTACCCGGGCATCCCTGTGAAAAGAAGCACAGCTAAATGAGGGAAGTAAGAGTCACCCTCAAAATAAAAACTAAAAGGAACCACACACACTGTATTGTGAGCATTTTTTAAAATAAAATTCCAGTTAGCCCTAATTAACTACAGCCATTCCTGAACTCTCCCTAATGCTTCTTTACCTGTTAGAAAAAAGCAGTAGGACAAAAACATGTAATAAACATGCAACCTAATCAAATAGCCTGTGCTTTCTAAACTAAATGCTCAAATTTGAAGCTTAATAGGAACAATAGTTTCCTTTTCTAATATTCTATTTGCTAGTGTCCTCTAAGATTTACTGATTCTATAAATTACTGTAACAATGCTAACTACTTTACCATGCAATCTCTAAATAGTTAAATGTCTTCTGCCTAGTGATACAAAATATATGAAATATTAAAAAATTGAAAAAGAGGAAAAAATAGGAATTAAAAAGGCATACATGGCCTGTTAACAGATTTCTTTATTTTTCTTGGTCAATTCTCTATCATCATTTTGGAGTTTGGGCAGCTGTAAATTTTGAAAAATTGACATTTTCAGAAATTTAAGAAAGGAGAATAAAAAACTAACAACAATGCTAAGCACACCAGTACGAAAACAACAAATTTACACAGAAATTTTAGTGAGTAAGTTAAAATGATTGGAAATATAGAACTCCACTGAATATAGAATGTTAAAATGTAAATACTAAAATATGTATATATAAATAATGTATAATAAGAATAAATAGAAATGAGAAAAAAAATCTACAACTGAGTTCCAGTGTGCACAGTTCCTTGCAGTTAGCCTTCAAGATCCTGTCCATTCTTATGAGCAATTCTGCAAAATAACCAGAATGCTATTACTTTTAATTGTGACTTGGACTTTAGAAAACTGCAGGTCTCAGGTATAAATAAAGATTGAAAAACAGCAACCTGTTATTTTTATACTGATTTTTAAAACAGTACTACTTACCACATTTAGATTAAAAAGCAAAGCAAATATCAAAATAGAAAATTAAGAATTAAATCTTTCCTTCAAATAAATTAAATCTACAGAACAACAAATTATACAAAGAAAAAAGTTGTTGTTCTTAATTGAAACACGTTTCTGTAAAGTAGTACTAAAACGTTTAATTTACATCTACAGGAAATATATCAAATACACTGATTTTAATTAGAAAGACAAACGGTGATAAATACTTTATACAACTTATAACCATTTTTAATTTTCCAATACAGTTATCAAGTAACAGTAAAATTTGAGCATAAATTTTGTTAAAAATCAAACCATATTTGTCCCCTTACTAGCAGAATCAAATATCACTAACAAAAAACATCTATTAATTAGTCCCACATTATAATTCAGACATGAAACATTAATACTGTAATAGTACTACTTTTTACTTATACCTAAGATATCAAAACACATTTATCATCACATTTAAACATGAACATTTTCAATTTTACCAATATACCCAAAGATTTAACTACTTCCCCCACTTATCAATTCCTCCAATAAAAGTGTAACACAGTATAATCACATTTGCTTTTTGTTAACCCATTTTTCTTAACATTTGACAAAAAGTTGGACTTTGTAAGTTTTACCACCTAAACATGTGTCAAAGATAACAAACAGAATCACTTAAATTTTTAAAACATATTATACACAGGATTATATGAAAACAAGACCCCAAAACATTGAAATGACAGCAACATTTGCAACAACATCTACTCAAAAAACAAAACCAAAAAAAGAAAATCAAAAAGCAAAAGAAAAGTACACTAACTAGAGAAAGAAAATCTTATTTCCAATACAAGTTAATCATATACAATTTTGCCTATCACTGTTGAGTGTAGTACTGATTATGATACTTACGATATTTTACCAAAGGGGGCAAATGCTGATTTGATATCTTCTGTTGTAATTTCTGGACTCAAATCCCCAACAAATACATGGAAGTGATCTGAAATCAGAGCATTTGGTAATCAAATACTTAAGAAGTCAGCTACTAAACCTTTTTTAGGCAACACTAAGGAGGAAAAAAAACCCTAGTTAAGCTGGTAATGCTGCCAGGAAAATTTCAGAACTCTTCCACAGTAAACGCAGCAGGAGTACTTACTGGAAGTATCTTTTTTCTGGCTACTTGGTGTTGTTGCCCAGTTTACTTTGACCTCCTAAAAATAAAGATTATATTTAATACAATTATTAAGCATGTCATTATGCATTTATAACACTTACCACTTAATAAACCATTTATCAAGCGGATTATTTTTGTAAAAGCACTAGGCTGAATAAAGCAAAACCATCAATCAGCAGTTCAATATCTGTTTAAAAACTTGCTAAGAAAGAATATAAACATGCAAATATATGTACTCATAAGGCGTCACCATTCTATTACCTTACCTTTCCCAAAATTTTTCTCCCATTCATAGCAGCTAATGCAGCAGCTGCATCTCTGTGTTCATAAAATTCCACAAAGCAATATGGGTCATTGCTTGTATGCTGCAAAACAGAAAATCCAACAGAAGAGTTGACCCTTCTGCTATCGGGTTGCTGAGAAGAAAATCCAGGAAAAAACATTACTGATAGCTAGGAATGTACAAAGTGAGATTGCAAAAGCTTATGAAAGCCTAACGCTTAAAAAAAAAAAAAAAAAAGATTTACAGCTAAACCTCACTTTGTGCCTCACAGCACTACTGTACTAAACAGAAAGCAGTATGGAATCATAACCTTGAGAATTAAACTAAAATATAGAATTCTAGTGAAGTATGTTAAATATGAAATAGATTAGGCCAAACCAAACCTCAAACTCAGATTTGATGAGGATCACTCTTTATCATTGCTCTCCTCTTCCAAAAATTATTTTGAAATGATTATATTCTACTAATGTATCATAATCTTTCCCAAACTGTATTCTAGTACTATAAAAAGATACAGAATTGAACTAACTTTATAAGCTTTATTTCCTGATCAAAACCAGGACTGGTACCACAAATAATAAGTGTTTTTGTATTACTACTGAGACTGGAATATATGTATTCCTTTTTTGGATAAGAATAACAATAGAAAAATGCAATCCTTCAAAACAGTCTAATGTACTGGAGATTCTATATACTTTAAATGTGGTCTTCCAAAGTCCAAAAAATACACTAGCGAACTAGAAAATGTGACTGAATAAAATATTCCAATAGTCCAGGAGAGTAATGGGGTATACTCAGTGGTAGTGTACTGGCCTAGCATGTACCAGGCTCTGAATTTGACCCCCATACGGCAAAAAAAAAAAAAAAAAAAAAAAAGTGGTGGTGAGGAGAATCCAGGATAAAGCTATATATATTCTGTCATCACAAAAACACCAATATATAAAAATCTTTGTTAAATATATGCTTGATAGTAGTTGGCAAATACATATTTACAAAGAGGGTGAGAAAGTAGTGCTAACAACAAAAATAAATTTTTATAACATGCAGTCTATATTAGACAGTAGCACAACTGTACAAAAATTTTTTTAATATAAGATTAAAAACATTCACTCTTCAATGTGAAATGCCCTAAAAATATATTTAAAATGTGAAATTGTGGGCTGACCTACAAGGAATAAAAATACCAGATAAAATAAAGACCTTTAAAACAACCACTGTTTATCATTCCAGGAGTGTTTTAGAAGAAAAATCCCAAATAAGATGTCTACAGGATGGAGTTGTAGATTGGTGGTAGAGTGCTCACCTAGCATGTGTGAGGCCCTGGGTTCAATCCTCAGCAACACATATAAATAAATAAAATAAATAAAAATTAGAAAAAAAATAAGATGTCTAAACAATAGTGACAAAGCAACCAGAGGCAATTATTTTTTAACATTTATGTTTTAGTTGTAGGAGAACACAATACTTTTATTTTATTTTTATGTGGTGCTAAGGATTGAACCCAGTGCCTCATGCATGCTAGGCAAGCGTTCTTCCTCTGAGCCCAACCCCAGCACGCAGAGGCAATTTTTTGAGGCAAAAAAAAAGTAGGATCATTATCATTGACAAGAAAACTATGGGCTCTCACACAAGATCTTACTGTCACAGACATGTGAACACTGTTCTTTAGAAGTAGAGAAAGGAAATGGGGGGAAAGACTCCAAATAGAAACACACACTTAAGTTCCTCTTGTGAAAAGAGTTAATATTTATCAGAAACATTTTCTGATGGATTTAAAAGTAAATTAAAAAATTAAAGTTGTGCTGGTCCATTTTTCCTTCTATTCCTCAGCCCTGATGGTCTCTAAAGAAAATACTTAATATTTATGGCAAAATATATGCGGGTCCAATGGTAGAACTATGAAAAAAATTAAACAGGCTTTAAGAAACTAGTGTATTACATGCACACTAATATCAAATTTACTTAACTAGTAGTAAGCCAGATCCCTGTATGTATATACTGGACAAGAAATGGTTCATGTCCTGGTCAGGACAGCAAGAAACTTCATCACACTACTCAGAACTATATGCATTTTAAAACTTCAATTTTTTACTTCTGGAATTTTCCATTTAATATTTTTGGACTGAGGTTGACCACAGCCAAAACTGAGGGAAAAAAAAATCACAGATAAGAGAAAAAACTGTACACACGTATTTAAATAGTCACATCACATATATGCTCGTATCATGCTGCATTTCATCTAAAGCACAACTGATTTTTTTTTTAAGTCAAATCCTAAGTGTCAGAGGTGTTAAAATTATTGAATGTTTGGGGCTGGGGATATAGCTCAGTTGGTAGAGTGCTTGCCTAGCATGCACAAGGCTCTGGGTTCGATCCCCAGCACCACCAAACACACACACACACACACACACTTACATATATATATATATATATATATAATGTTTGCCTTAGAATGTAGAATAGATTTTATTTTATTATATAGGAAAAGCTAGAATCTATAATATCTACAGTTAAAAAATCATAAAATTAAGGGGGAAAAAGATTTTTCATATACTGGAAAAAAATTATGAAGGGAAAATAAATGCCTAGATGAAGATTCTGTATTATAGTCCATGCCCTTTATAAGCTTCCCATTTATACCACCACCACCAAGTGACACTCTAATCTTCAGTTAGGTCCTTACCGTAATTAGTGTTGTCACCTATTTTTGTTGGATGACATAAATGTCAAGACAGAAATATGAGGTTTTATATTTACAAGTTCAAATCTAGGAGTTCTAGAATATGGATAAAATTTCAAATTTCAAATCATTTCAACCCTCAAATGGTTATGTATACATATAGAATTTTCAAAAATATTTTTAAAACATTTATCAAATGCTTCTCAAAAATTTTCTAGACTCTACTTTCTCATATCCCATTCTCCTAAATCCCCTCCTATAAGCTTCCAACCCAAGCATGTCACTGAGATTACCTCACCAATGACTCTGTCACCTCTATAACCCCTTTTCTGTTTTCATCTTGACTTCCAGATAGAATTCAAAATAGCCGACCACTACCTTCCCCTTCCTCTAAACATTCTCTTCTCTTCAACCTACCATACACTCAGTTTTCCTGTTTCCTCAGTGGAGGATCTTTCTGAAGGTAGTTCTTCCTTAACTCAAAGTCGGAATGTAACTCTAAATGCTGAGCTGTTCCAGGCTCCAGGGCTCAGACCTTAATCCTTTTACTCTTCTCTGCTATCAATTAGTCCCATAGATTCAAATACTGCTGCAAGCTTCAACACTCGTCTCTCCAGAGTTCCAAATTAGTTAATCCAACTGCCCATATACAGTGATCATTTAGATATCTAATACATAAATTTAACACAACCAAAATAGAATACTTAATTCCCAAACCTGTGCCCTGCTCAGTCATCCCCACTTTGGTAAACAGCATTACCACCCACATAATCGTACTAACAAGAATCTTAGGGTCTTTCCTAATTTCTTCCTTTCCCTTATATCCCACAGCCAATCCAGTTCTATTGATTCTATCTTCAAAATATATTCCAAACTTTATCTACCCCTATTTTTATCCATCATATTCTAAAGCACAAGAACCTATCACTTCTCACCTAGACTAGTAAACCCAGTTGGTTTCTTTCCTTCTTTTGCTTCCTGCGATCCTTCTCTATACCACAGTGTCTACAGAGAGTAATCTTAAAAATGCCAATCAGAGCACTTCATCCCCCTATTAAAACCCCTCCAAAGGTCTGCCACTGCAACCTAAACTCTGTCATGGCCCATACCGCCCTGTGTGATTCTGAATCCTGCTTACCTTATTAGATTCGTTTCCCACCACTTATCCTCCATCACTCACCAGACTGCAGCCATCTGGTCTTTGGTTCCACAAACACAAGCTCATTACCAACTCGGGGCTTTTTTTTTTTAATAATATTTTTTTAGTTGTTGATAGACCTTTATTTTATTTATTTAAATTTGGTGCTGAGAATGGAACCCAGTGCCTCACACATGCCAGGCAAGTGTGCTACCTCTGAGCCACAGCACAGCCCCACCCCCAAACTCAAGGCCTTTTGTATTTGCTTTTCCTCTGCCTCCAGCTCTTACTGTAGACAGGCACCATCTTGTTTGTTATTACTGTCTCAGCTCAAAGAGATGACATCTTCCCTCACCTACCTATCCTACATAGCACCAACCCTCCAATCATCACAGAACTGTTTTATTCTCATCATGACTCTTATCCCTATTTGCCTGGGAACCTCCTTTCTCTGCCTCTCCATTATATGCCCAGTGCCTTGAAGAGTGCCTAGTGCAATGTAGACATTTTATTTATGAAAAGATGAATGAATAAAGTCAGGAAAGAAAGAAGGAAAATATACCAGCACAGATTAATAACTATAGTGAGTTAAGAAAGATAAAAAAAACCAGTGCACTTTACAGGTTTTTAACAGATCCCCATCTCAGGATAAAACACCAACTCCTTATCACAGCTTCTGATGTCTTACAACTAACTCCATTTTAAACTCCAACCATGCTACTATTGAATACAGGTTTCTAATAAAAAACAGACTTGTATTTTCCCCCCTTTATCCTCTTATAAGCATTCCTGTTCTGTCTACCAGCCCAGACCAACATTCTTCTAATTAGAATTGCTTCTTCCCCAAATTCCTTTCTGGTCAGTTTCTATTATATTTTTAGGTTTCAGCCTGTATACTAATATCTTCAAGAAGCCTCCCTGATTTCGAACGACACTGCATACATTATTATTTTATATTCTAAGTACCCGTTAACTTCTCTATTTCCCTACTAAGCTGTGAAGTACTAAAGGACTAGGAATTGTCTTATTCACTACTGTATCCTTTGTACTTACCGCAGAATCTGGTACATAATAGTCAAAAAACATGTTGATGAACAAACAAAAAGACAGGAAGAAAAGAATAACTAAAATGTGAATCATTGGGTATCACTACAGTCAACTGAATCCAGCGCCTGCACATGCCCAGCCTCAACAAATTATTCTAACAATTTAAATGCCTAACTACTTAAGTTGTGTGATCATTAATATTTACTAAAAATGCACATGACACATGTTGCTTTACTATGCACATAATAACCTAATATTCTTTCACATACACCAATTCCTGAACTTTAAATGAATGCTATCTGAATTATTAACATTCTAATTGGAATTATACGATATACCATCAAGTTTTTCACCATTCTGAGATAAGCTGTTTACAAGTAAAATCACTTAGAGATAACTACATCACAAAGAATGACTGTGTTAGAATAAGAGCACAGAAACTTTGCCCTTTCAAGACTCCATTCCAAGTCTCATTTACCAGCCAAATCAAATAAGTCACTGATCTCTCCACCAGAATAACCTGAGGCTTAAAATAAATTTTAAAAAATGATACTAATCAACCAATAAATTTCAAAATGTTCAACATCATACTAACTGAGAGCACATATAATTGGGAAGATCTTACCTCTGTTATCATTTTACAGCTTTTACAGGGTCCGATCTGACTGAATAACTGAAGAATAAGGACTTCTGTCACATCTCTGGAGAGGTTACCTACATATCTGAATGAGAAAAAATATATATATTATCAGCAATTTACCTTTAGCTCTGGCTCTGTGTTATCATTTAATTTATCACCTTTTATTTCAACTTAACTTCTTGTGTCTTCAGTAAAAATTTCAAAGTAAGCCTGATCCTATCAAAGTAAGATTAACCCTTATTAAGGAAAACAATTGTTCCTTTCCCACTAAAATTCAAAGATGTTGTAAAGAACAAATCAATATGATCTTATATATGAATACATATGCCCAAAGGCATATATATTATTCTATACCCTATATATCATTTTCTTATTCTAACCAGTCTCATGAGAATGACAATTTCTATCAAAATAATTCATAGCATAGACATAATATGACAAATACTAAAACAACTGATCATAAAAAGTTATTAGAGATACAGTGGGTTTATTTAAAAATGCCAACCACGGCAATTACATGAACAAAGAACAGAGATGAATAAAGTTACAGCAAAACACATAAAGAATGGAGGAGTTTTGTTTTAGTGTTGGCTAAATAAGACTGTTTGCAAATGGTATGTCTTCATTGCTTTGTTTTAGGAGAATAAGGTAAAATAAGATTTTTCTGGTCAAAAATGCATCTGAGATGGGTGTGAGGACACACGCCCGTAAAATCAGCTGCTCAGGAAGCTTAGGGAGGAAGATCGCAAGTTCAAGGCCAGCCCCAGCAAATTAGCAAGACCCTGTGTCAAAATAAAATAAAAAGAGCTGGGGATGTAGCTCAATGGTAGAGCATTTGCCTAGCATGCACAAACCACTGGGTTTAATCCCCAGTAATTACACACACGCAAGCGCACACACACACACAAATAAGTAAATAAAGCAGAATCAACAAAAAATACATTTTTATGCAGGTAACAAATAAAGCAAACATAAAAGACTTCTTTAGAAATTCAGAGAAAAATTGAGACCAATTCAGATATACTGTTGACTATAGATATTTAAATATTTGGGTTTTTTTCCCAGATTAAAGATTAAACATACACATTTTGTATAAATTTTTTTAAATAAAGAAAAATCACTACTTTACCACCAAGAGATGCCACTTTGATTTATGTTTTGCACACTGATTCAATTATGTCAGTATACTGTCAAACTTTTGAATACTTCTGGTACTCAGCAAATAGTTCCTAAAACTTACTTCTGTCATGAACAAACCTCATAAACTAAAAAGTACTTGTAAAATTTAACATAGTTTCTTCTGGAAGGTAAATGGATATAAGTTTTATTTTCCTAACCATAATATATAACATCTGGAAACTTGAGTACTGAGACCAAAAGAAGCTTTGCAACATAGTTGCCACATTAAATACATAACTGCTTTAAGATGGAATATACTAAAAGGGAAAAACAGATTTGAGAAAGCTAAGATTAAGAATTTCACCCTAGGGGTTGGGATTGTGGCTCAGAGTTACAGTGCTCGCCTAGCATGGGGCAGGTTCAATCCTCAGCACCACATAAAATAAATAAAGGCATTATGTTGTGTCCATCTACACCTAAAAAAAATTAATATTAAAAAAAAAAAGAATTTCACCCTAATGGGTACTAATAACCATAGGACATATGTTCTAAAACTGAAATATAAGTCCTATATTACTTAAATAGAAAATCAAAACAGTTGACAAATTGGTTTTGGTCCAGTATGCCATTTTTTCCTTATTATTAAAAGTGTAGGCCAATGCAATGACTTATTTTTTCCACCAATAGTGAAAGATTAAAGAATTCTGAGTTAGCCAGAGACAACTGCCTTTTTTTTTTTTTTTTTTTAACTCACAGGGATTTGTGAGCCTGTATCCATGGAATAATTTTTCTTTCCTTTTTTTTAAACACAGGAGATGTATCTATAAGAAAAATGAACAAGTGATGCTAATATTCTAAATTCTATGTTCATCTAACCTAAAGGGCTAGTTAATTTATTTCTGAAAGAGCTGGCCATGGTGACACACGCCTGTAATCTCAGCAACTCAGGAGGCTGATGCAGGAGGATCACAAGTTCCAGGACAGCCTCATCAACTTATGAGACCCCATCTCAAAACAAAAAAGCAGAAAACTAAATTACAAAAAGTAACATAAAAGGCCTTCCATAACAACATGTAGAACATCTTAATTTACCAGGATAAAAAGAACATAATTCACTATATAATTTCCCCTAAATTTCACCCAAATTTCAGACTGCTTTTTCTTTTACTCAGAATTATATAATTCATGTATTTACATATGCCTTCATGCATAATACTTAATAGAGGCACAATTTGTAGCTTTTAAAACACTTTACTATACTGCTTAAGTACCTTTACATTATCATGAAATAACCTGTCCTGAAATAAATACTAATAAAAATAAGACAAATTTCAATTGTTAACCTAGTAAGCATCATCTTTTGGTAGTTTACTGAAAATTTGTTTTTATTTTCAAATGACAGCCTCTATATTTCACTTTCTTTCTGCTTTGATTATGAAGTAGTCAACATATTCTAAAATTTCAAGTTTTTTTTTTAAATATATAATTCTACTTGAAGAACCTATACAAAATAAAAAACAAAACAAAAAAGACAAATGATTTGAGTTCTTATAGTGAGAGGTCAATTCAAAAGAGAGAACACTTAAGAAATTCCAAAATGTTTTTTATCTCACTGCAAAAAAAAAAAAAAAAAAAGGCATACCTGACACTCTATTTTGTCTTCTAAGAACAGGAAATGAAGTATTAAAAACTGAAAATGATACCTTTATCCTAACATTAGGGTTAAAATCCAATTTGAGACCAGAAACTTGGCAGTTTCACAGTAGGCAGAAGTTCACACTGCCAAACTACTTCATATGTCCAACTGGGCAGAATTTTAAGTTAAAGAACATCATGACTTACAGGAGACTAATGATAGTTTTCAACACTGAATGTGCTCTCTCTGCAAAGAGTAGCCCTACCAAGGCTAAAAATACCAGCAGTTTTACACAAAATACTATGGTCATATTTCCATAAAACTAACATTTTTGCTTTTGTTCTTGACAAGTTCCTATACAAGAGATTTTGCAACAATACCCTTTAATAGACAGCTAATGAATGTTCAATTTGTCAGTACTGTGGAAGGAGGTCAGAAGGAGGAAAGGTGCAGGTGGTACCACTGAATTGACCGTCTATCTATAAGGGACGGACACACACACACACACACACACACTTAAAAAAATACAGCAATAATAAAATCTATGATTAAATTGAATGAAGGGCTTGATTACAGCCACAATTTAGCCAAATCCATGGTATAGCTACTCAGTTTTATAACTAGATTTTATAGTATTTCCTTCTGCTGTGTTCTTAGATGTTCATATTATACTCTAAATCATAGATTTCCCTATTTTTGAGTGAGTATCAGGAAGAACCAATAGCCTCAAAGGATGGCATTATATAACATGATTATTATTATCCCAGAACCACAATTCCTATTGATTTTGGTACATCAAATAGCTGAGTAAAATAAACTATAGTGTAACACTAATGTAATTTAGTGTCATATTGTAGATTCAGATATACCATGGATCAAATCACTGTACTATAAAAATACACACAAGCCTGCAACTTATGTCCTAAAGGCTTGTCCACTTTCAAACACCAGTATTACACAGCATGATCTTGTTTATTTTTTTAAGATCACAAGTTAGCCAATACATAATATCCCAAAATAAATGTCAAATGAGAATGAAAAACATGAAAAAACAGTCCTTTAAAGCAACTATATGATAAACAGAACTTTAAGCTCAACATCAAAGCAATTCTATACCATTTAAATACCATCAAATAAATTAGTAATACTGTAGGTAATGAATATTTAAAGACCTACCTAGGCTATAAACACCATATTGTTTTCTGAAGATAGAACCATATGTCTTAGCTTGTGTGTGTCTGCAGGAAAAAAACCTCACTAGTAACACACAGGCATTTTAAGGAAAACAGCTTAAGATAAGTTTTGTTAAGAGTACATTCTTTAAAAACATACTAGCCACTTGAAAAGCTCATCCATAGATCACAAGGCAAAACATAGGATCTCCATAAACTAACAAAACCAAACCTTACTAGATAACAACCTCTAAAATCATGTTCAGTTTCCATTACATTATTTGTATCTAAAAGAGCCCTTTCAGAAATATATAAAATGTATACTTTTTAAAAATTATTATGCATTAATTTTATTAAATGCTTACAAAAATCTGAATTGTGAAACATTTGATTTTATCTCAAGATTTTACATTTGAAGGTTTTAATATATATATTATATATACACACACACACAAATCAACTGCACAAAGTATGACAATAATGTCTGCCTATAATTTAAATCAATCAGGACTATTAAAAAGGGACTTAAAACTGATTTAATGAGAGAAATATAATCATTGTAAAATGTTTATTAAGTACCTCTTACGTTCCCAGCAGTGAACTAAGTGCTTAAGGGGTAAGACCTAGGAAGATGTAGCAGTCCTTATCTTAAACAATAAAAACCTTCCCATGGAGGAAAAGTGGGAGAAGGAAAAAGGAAGAATAAAGGAGAGTTGTAAACATGTACTACATTGAGAAATAACAGAGCTTAGATTTTTTATTTACTCCTATGTATACATGTCACATTTTTAGATAAATATAATAAACACAGACAACTTAAGTATGTTTCAGAGGAAGGACAAGAGACTGGAAAAGGTAGTGGTAGGAAGTAACAAAGAATTAGCTTATTAGACTACTGGAGAAGGTACAATAGAAATGAAAACAAGGCAGATGCATAGATAACTATATGAATGAAAGATACTGAAAAAGTACATTATTTAGAAGGACAAAACCAGGAATTCCTCTTCTTGGGAACAAATGATATAATTAAATGAGACATTAACCATAAGAAATTATCAATTATTCAATAGTTATTATGATGCGATGATGATATTTCAGATACAATATAACTGTTATCTTCCTTAAATACATGATAGTCCCTAAATCTAACTTTCCCAGATGTTAACTACCAAGCTTTGGCTTCAACAGATGTTGAGGACAAATTTCAAGTTTGTCCTAATTCTGTTTTCTGGAAAGATGGGCAAAAAATGGAAGACAACACAAAAAAGTTCTACTGAGCAAGACTTTCATTCAAGTAGTAGATGTGCTTAAATTGGCCTTAAATTCCCAAAACAGGATGACAAGTACTTTAGAGTAAGACACTAAAAGAAATAGGAACAAAAAGAAAATACAGGCGAAAAAAAAAAAAAAATCAAGTTTGAACACAGAAGTCTACCTTCTTTAGGGAGTGTATACTTTTTTTGGTAGGAGTGAAGTTTTGAGAAGCTAATCAACCTCCTGAGTGTCCATCTACCTTCATCTATTCCCCAAAAAGTACTTTCCCCAGCAGATAACCCAGCCAAGTGAACTCTGATCATATCAATATCAGGCACAGGCAAGGGAAACAAAGCAGAGATTGGACTCCTTGTAACTCAGGGTAGGAGAACTGGGCCTCAGAGGCTGGGAATGCCAAAGGTGCGCAATTTAAACACTGAATTAGAAATAACTCAGACTAAAAATAAAAATTTTAAAAAAAGATACAAGAGAAGAAAAAGAGTGCCACGCTATTCAGAAAGAAATGTAATTGCTGAGTCATCACTCTTCATTGGAAAAGGAAGGAAAAATCGAATTAGGTGGTTGGAAGATGAAATCCATTCATTAGATTGGGCTTTGGGCAAAATGCAACAGCAAGACCAAAGAAGCGCCCCCAAAACACGCATCGTATAGCGAACGAAGACATTATTCTATCTGATTCTGATGATTTCGACACACCAATTAGGAGGCGGCAACACCAAACAGCAAAAAAGAGTGTAACAACTGGTTGTCAGTTTGGCGTAGGGCGCGCTCAAAGTAAACTTCGCTCTCCGAGAAGGGAGCGATGCTGCGGCGGCCAGAGGCATTCCGCCTGCACTTCAAAAGTAGCGGGCGCTGGGCGGGTGTTTCTGACAGCGTGGGCGGGGGCACGTGGGGCAGAAAGAGACAAGGGGCTCCCGTGGCTGAAGAGTGTCTGGCTTCCTCCGAGAGCCGAGTTCGGGCAAAGAGACGGGGGCGCCTCAAGCCCGGGACACGGAGGGCGTGAGCGCTAATTCCTCCGGGCCCGCAAGGGATGCAGCGACGGTCCCACCCCCACCAGGCCCAGCCCCCGTGGGGACCGGCAGCTCCCGGCCCAGCCCAGGGCCCCCAAGCACAGGGGGAGCAGAAGCTCTCTCGGGCCTGACAGCCTCAGCGGATGCAGAAGCCAGGCCTAGGAAAGGTGCGCGAAGAAGAGCGCGAGAGGAAAAGGTCGGGACAAGCCTCAGACCCCAGGAAGTGACTGCGTTTGGGGGCAGGGAGGGCTTCCTTCCCTAGGAAAAGGGGACAGATGAGGAATGCACTTAGCGTCCACGCCGCCCCAGCCAGGGAGCCGCCGAGAGTCCCGGCTTCGGCCCCCTGTCTCCTGCTCCCTCCCTTAGCGTCCCGCGGTGCCCGGGCCTCTAGGCTCCCGGCACCCCCGGTCTCGGGTACTCACAGAGTCCGGGGCTGTCCGTCGTCTTCCATCATGGTGGGTGCGACGGAGCGATCCCGGGACAAGGGGGAGGGCAGGGTTGGGGAGGGGAGGGGTGGGGAGGAAGGGGAGGGGGGCTCCGGGCACCGGCTGGGGACAGAGGAAAAGGCGCCGAACCCTGCTCTAGGGCTTTCTCCCCCCAGCCCGCTCCGGACACTGCGCTCCAACCAGGAGGAGCAGAAGGAGGAGGAGGATGAACAAAATGGCCGCCGCCACCAGCCAGGCAGGAAACGGGGCAGGGCGCAGGCGCAGCCCGCCAGGTCACCGCTCAGGCCAGCCGCGACGGCCTGCCCCGGGAGAGCTGAGGGGGGCAGAAAGCCAGGCCGCGGAGCAAGCCCTGTGCCGGTTCACGACGACCCCGTTGTCGCCGAGAGCCTGTCTGCTGGCCGTCCGACCGAACCCCAGCCAGTTCCAGCAGAGATCGGGCAAAAAGAGAAACGTCGTGAAGTGAAGTCTCTGGGAATCGCGGTCCTGGGAAGGAGCGAGGGAAGCACTTTCCAGGAGACTTCTGGGAACTGTAGTCCGAAGGAGACCCCGCGCCGCGCCGGGACGCGCAGTAGAGACTTCTGGGTAGTGTAGTCGTACGTGAGGGCGTGCGGCCACCAGGAAGTCGGCGTGCCGGGAGGGGAGGGAAGAGAACAAGCGACGGTAAAACGCGGGCCGGCGGAGTGGGAGAGTCCCTGTCCTGGAAGTGAACTACAAGTCCCAGCGTGCCTCGCGCCGGGGGCGGCTTCAGGACCGCTCCAGGCATCTTAAGGCCCTTCTGTTGGCCGGGCGTGAGCGTCGGCTCCGCCTCCGTCCTGGCCAAGAGCGGTTTCTTCAACTGCGGCCCAGGCGTTGCGCCGGCTCCGCGTGTTGTCAGAGCTATCAGGCCCTGCCGGCCTTCCTCTGGAGGCAGAACGGCTGGGCCGCTGTCATCAACCGCCAACTCGCGCCTGGCCCAAGAGAGGCTCGCCTGGCGGGCACCTGGCGGGACTCGACGGACCGCGGGCTCCCCAGGGGCCGGTCGCGTCTTTGGGGCGCCTTTTCCAGCAGATAGGAATTCCTAGCCGAGATAGTCTGGTAGGTTGCTGTATGTTTCGGAGGGCTGCCTACCTTTCATATCTCGTCGGGTTAGCGGGTGAGACGAGCAACCGTCCATTTGAATGACTTGCCCTCCTTCCCCCCGTATTTAATCGTAGAAGTAAAAGTCTTTTAACAGAAATGCATAGATTTAAGGTTGTGTTTACAGACATCAGCCATGTGGGGAAGGAAGTCTTGCTTGAAGAAGTGGAAAGCCACGTTCAAATTAGCTCTGCAGCCCCCCCCCCCCCACACACACACACACCAGTTCTCTGTATGCTTCTTTACCTCCTCAGCACCGACAGGAAAAAGCACACAATTTGTAGCTGCTCTTGTGGATGAGTGAAGGGTGGAGATGAAGAGAGGACTTGTCTCTTGCCTGACCTGACAGTTCTCAGTTAACAGAGTTGTTTCTGAAGACCTCTGCAAGTACCATCGGATCCTAATCTTGTAGGCACCATCAACCATGCAGCAACGCATGGTACTGTCAATTGGTGGGGAGGGAGATTTTAACCTGGAGGACTTCATAGAACGGTTGACAGAGGAGTCGAGCCCCATAAGACTCAATGGGAATAGCTAAAGGGTTCAGAGGCCAGCATCTATGGGTAAAATGTCTGGGTCTAGGGGTGGGAGTGTTGGCAACAATGTGGAGTTGGTCTTCAGTGCTAGAGATTTAAGCCTGGGCCTGTAGAACCATGTTGTCAAGGATCTATGCCATGCTGAGGAGTTGGAGTTTTATCTTCCAAGCAGTGAGGAACCATTGAAAAGTTGAAGCTATTTATTTTTTAACTTGGACCTAGGTACAGAATTGGATTAATCATAATCCAATTCACTGACAGTGCCTAGCCCAGTGTATTAGTTTTCTGTTGCCACTATAACAAATTAGTGTAAATTTAGAGACTTAAAACAACATGAATTTATTATCTGAATTCTGGAGGTTACAAGCCCAAGTTCCGTTTCACTGGGTTAAAATCAAGGTGTTGACAGGGCTGGTTTGTCTTTTCCAGTTTCTAAAGACTGCCTGATTTTTTGACTCTTAGCCCCTTTCTCCATCTTCAAAAACTGTTGCATATCTTCTCTCCTTCAATGCTGTCTTTCTGGCTGGTCCTCCTGCCTCCTTTTCTTACTTTCAATGATTTTAAGTGATCACTTTGACCAGGATAATCTCTGCATCTGAAGATCCTCAATCGAATCTGCAAAGTCCCCTTTTATATACAAAGCATTCAGCTTGGAGCAGTGGCACTCATCTGTGATCCCAGTGACTCAGGAGGCCGAGCAGGAGAATCACAATTTTGAGGCCAGCCTCAGCAACTTTTTTTGGGGGGGAAAGGGTACCAGGGGTCGAATTCAGGGGCACTCGACTACTGAGCCACATCCCCAGTTCTATTTTGTATTTTATTTAGAGACAGGGTCTCACTGAGTTCCTTAGCACCTCACTAAGTTCCTTAGGCTGGCTTTGAACTCCCAGTCCTCCTGTCTCAGCCTCTTGAGCCATTGGGATTATAGGCATGTGCCACTGCACCTGGCAACTTTTTTTTTTTAATGTTATCCTTTATCTATATATCTATTATACATTTTATGGTGCTGGGAACTAAGTCCAGAGCCTTGCACATGCTAGGCAAGTGTATCACTGAGCTACATCTCCAGCCCAGAACTCAGCAACTAAGTGAGACCCTATATCAAAATCAAAAGGGCTGGGGATGTAGCTCAAGATGAAGCATCTCTGGATTCAATCCTCAGTACAAAACAAAACAAAAAACCAAAACATTCATATGTTCTAGGGATTAGGACATAGACACCTCAGTGGGCAATATCAGTTTACTTATTGCTAATTTAGGAACTTAATGTAATAGCTACAAATCTTAAAAAGTCATCACAGCAATTTACATCTAAATGTATGGTATGTGTCACACACAGTACTTATTTATCCCCCTCACCTTGGGTAACCATCATCCTGTGTACTTGTTTGTTTATTTATTGCAGTACTTCAGAATGTGCCCCAAAACACTCTACCACTGAGTTATAATCCCAGCTTTTTATTTTTATTTTTATTTTTTAATTTTGAGACAAGGGGCTGGGGATGTGGCTCAAGTGGTAGCGTGCTCGCCTGGCATGCGTGAGGCACTGGGTTCGATTCTCAGCACCACATAAAAATAAAGATATTGGGTCCACCTTAAACTAAAAAATAAAATATTAAAAAAAATAAATAAAAATTTTTTTGAGACAAGATCTTGCTAAATTTTGAGGCTGGCCTTGAACTTGAAATCCTCCTGTTTCAGCTGGAATGATAGGTATGCACCACTGTGCCTGGCTTTTCATTTACTATTTCTTGCTTTCCTTTTACAGAATTGTGTTGCATATGTATATAGTCCTATGAAAAGTATATATCACATATATGCCCACTACACACCTATTAGAATGGCTGAAAATGCAAAACACTGAGGACACCAAGTGCTAGGGAAGACTTAAAGCAGCAGGAACTCTCATTCATGTCAGTGGGAGCCACTTTGGAAGTTTGACATTTTCTTACAAAGCTAAACATAACCCCTAGGTATTTACCAAATGAATTTATCATAGTTTTCTGTTGCTGTAACAAAATACCTGACACTGGGTACTTGTAAAGAGGTCAATTTAGCTTACCATTTGGAAGCTGAAAGTCCAAGATAGGGTGGTCTTGTCTATTTGGCCTCTGATGGGTCCCTGTTGGCTCTACCACAACATGGCAAATTGGGTCACAATGGAAGTACAAGTGAATAATCTGCTTGGTAAGACAGGAAGTCAGAGGCCAGGTTCACTCTTTTTATAACAGTCTACTCTCATGGAAACAACAATATGAGTACTACATGAATTCTTTCCAAGAGCAGTGCCTCTAATAACCTGAACCCCTTCCAGTAGGTCCCACTTCTTAAAGGTTACACCACCTTTCAAGATCACCATATTGAGGACCAGCTTCTACACACATAAACCTTTTGGGGGATACCCTCAAACCATGTCCAAACCATCGCAGGGTTGAAAACATGTCCACATAAAATCCTGCATACATATGTTTATAGCAGCTTTATTTAGATTACCCAAAGTTGGAAGCAACCAAAATGTCCTTGAATAAATGAATGAATGAACTCTGGTACAATGTGGTACATCCATACAGTGGAACATTATTTAGTGATAAGAAGAAATAGGCCCTCAAACCACAAAAAGACATGGAGGAATCTTAAATGCATATTGCTAAGTGGGGAAAAAAAATCTGAAAACACCATATACTTTATTCTAATTATGTGACATTTTGAAAAAGGCAAAGCTATAGACAATTAAAAAAATTGGTAGGTGTCAAGGTTTTAGGGGATCAGGGAGGATAACTGCATTTTTTTTAAATATTATTTTTTAGTTGTAGTTGGATACAATATCTTTATTTCACTTATTTATTTTTATGTGGTCCTGAGGATCCAACCCAAGATCTTACAAGTGTGAGGCGAGCGCTCTACCGCTGAGCCACAACCCCAGACCGATAACTGCATTTTTAAGGTGGTAAAATTCTGAGTGAAATTTCTGTCAAAACCCAAAAAACTGCAACTGGAGAGTGTGGATCCCAATGTAAGCAAAGACCTACTAATGTTTCTGTATTGGTAAATCAATTGTAACAAATGTGCCACAGTAATATAGAATGGTAATAATAAGGGAAACTATGATTGTGGTGGGGAAGAGGGTGTAGGGGCAGAACAGGGGGTGGTCCCTTCCCTCACATCATAACAGGTCATGGAAGACACCCTTATAACAAAAGACATTAACAAGACAAGAATAATAAATTAACTTGCATAAGTAAGGGAGTCATGCAAAATAGAAAACTCAAAGGAGCGCCAGATGGTTGGAATTTATATAGTGTAGATGCTTCAAGCTTCTTGTAACTGGTTTTAAGGCAAGTAATGAAAGAGTGAGGGAAGGAAACTGGATCTCAGAGAAAGGTTGTCTTATTCTCCAGATAGTCTTCTGGGTAGCAGCCATTGGAAGATCACCTATGGTAATCTCTGCCTGGGCCAGGTGTCAGACCCCAATCCCCTCTTGTCCAAGGTCTTTCCTAAGCAGATTGGGTGGGGGGGAGGTAGTAATCAGAAAAGCCTCTGTTTGCATCTGCTGTTTACCAATGTAGATGTAAGTTTCTTTTTGCAAAGGGACAGCTTTTCAGGGTGCTTGTCTGTATAGAATGGCAAGCAATTTAAAACTTGTGAATTGCTTATTTATTTCTGGAAATTTCCATTTAATATTTTCAGACCATGGTTGACTGTAACTAAAACGACAGAAAGCAAAACTGTGGATGAAGGGGATTATGAATTTAAAAATTTATAATGCTATATACACACTCCAAGGATGTTCAAGTCCCTTATTAAAAATGGAATAGTTGGGGCTGGGATTGTA